ATAGAGAGAGAGAGAGAGAGTAATGGCTCTAAGGAACCATCTTTGGCTGAGCAAGCATTGTTTAAACATTGGCTTGTGGGGAGATTGCGTTAGCCAGATAACCAGGAAGTACAATGTGTTTTTAAGCCACGGTAGTAACACCAATTAGCTATAGATGATAAGATCTGCCCTCAAAGTGTGTTAGTCTGAAAAACAATGTCTGGTTTGAAATTCGTCACTCGGGGCTGGCAGGGGTGGATGTTTCTGCGATAACAGATGTTCAACACACACACTGGAACCTCAATGAGTTTATTGTTCCCACGGAGAGGCTTCCAGCTTGACAGGCTTTTCTTTTTGATGAAAAATGTTTCTGGTCATGGAAGATGTTCCTTTCCATACATGACACACGACACACACTACATGGTTCTGAAGGCGACGCTGTGATTGTGTCGTTCCACACCGGAACTGTGTCGGAATAAACTCATGTCACATTTCTAGTAGATATGTAGTTTGTACTTTCTCAACTCAGGCGTAAGAAGGGAATAGAGTTGGATATCTGACAGTAAAAAAGCAGGTGGAAGTGTTAACAGAAGCTTAACTGTCCAGACGTCGTTACGGTTGCAGTCAGAGTGAACGAGAAGATGCTAAGTGTGGTGACTTGTCTCAAGTGATGTCACTTTAGCGTTGGTCGGGGCTGAAGACTTTGAATGTGAAAACATCTGGGGGTGTGGAGTTAGAAAGAAGTGACCAGACCTCTGCTCGCTTCTCATCTCTGGCTACATTAGTCGCTGCCAGCATAAAATACCCAAATCTAATAATGGTAATGTAGGCGCCAGGTTAAAAAGAATGAAAATGGCTCTGCTGTATTGATATTGATGCTTTAAAAAATGCTTTCCCAAATTGGCTAACAGTGGGTTATTGAAATCATTTCATTTTATTAACAGTGCATAATGCATACTTCCTCACAATGCTGCACTTTGTATCGATTCAACGAGGATCTTTACCTTTGTCGTCCACTTGACTCGGCTTTCCTCTTTACCTCTCTTCACCCAGCTTACCCTCTCTCTCTCTGCTTTTCCCTGAGCTCCATCTGTTTCTCTCTCTTCATCCCTCTTTTTTTACCCTACTTAATCCTCCGCCTATATCTGTTCTTTCTGCTCTCTCCATCCCCTTCTATTCTCTGAGACCTCTTCGGCCATAGATGTGACACCATTGTGTCTCACTCTTCCTTACTCTCTCTCTATATATTTCTGCTTTTCTTCCGTCACTTTCTGCCTTTCGTTCTTTTACATTTACTAATTTTTCCTTCCTCTTGGTCAGCCGGATGTATGCTAGCCTGGCCGGGTTTGACTGATTGACTGGAAGAGCACTTAGCTTCTGGCAACGTGGGGACACACACACACACACACACACACATACAGACACTCCCTCTCTACTCTTGATCTTTTACCGTTATTGGTTTATAAGAAGACCGTACATTACAAAGTTTCATTTCAGAAGAAATGTGTAATATCTCATTCAGTAGAACAATTCCTCTGCTGTGTTACAGAAAAGCTCCATTTGAACAACCAAATCCCAGGACGGTGGTGAGAATGAAAGACAAGTCAGTTGAGATAGTTGCATTGTATTAGAAATTCATCTTCTTAAGGTTCATACAGTATATCATTCATATTTTATGTGAATGATTATTAAAACAAATAGCATTGCAGACCATGTTCAGTGAACACAGTAACCAAGATGTAGTGAGGATTAAACCAGGCTCAGAGACTAAATGCATAGTTTAACAGAGCTTCAACATCTGCTTTTCAGTGGTGAAATGAGCCGTTTCTTCTTTTTTTAACCTTGGTTTAGGTCAGAATGTTGTGATGCCATGCTTTGCACTGGACTGAACTATTTTATGTATGTCATCTATGTATATAGATGAGCAAAAAATATTTAAAACAACTTGCAACCCCACAAATTGCATAATAACAATGACAATGGACATCTCTCTGGCACAGTGTCTAAACAATACAAAATGTTTCTGATCACAGAAGAAGTATTCGTAGTATATTGCATTACAAAGTATCGGAGTTTCTACTTTTCTGGTCACTTAGCGTATCTGACTAGCTGGCCAAAACCAATGCGAGTAGAAATCTAATAAGCTGACTGCTGGTACTTTGGGAATTTGTTTTTCTAATTAAGATCATGAGATAATACACAAACCGTCGACTCTAATTGTGACTCTAATCTCACTTAGTGTATTTGGCCGATGACAAGGAAGCAAAAAAAAAAAGAAGAATGTAACTCAGGAGGCCTGTTCAGCAAGAATGAACCAAACAGCACAGAAAGCTTGTGGTGAATTCTGTTGTTCTGATCAACACGAGACAGCAATGCAGCCCACTTTAGTCCCGCCTACACATCTGCATTTTACATCCTGCTGGGAGAGGTTCAGTCACTTTACGTCAACAAGCACACCGAGGAAAAAGAGTTAATTGGAGCTGAGATATATTACAGGATGGACATTCAACTTGTTGGGCAAAAGGCAAGAAAACAGTGTTACACATGAGATTCATTACACTGTAAAGGCTTTGGTCTAGTAGTCAAATGTTAGCTATCAAAGGAAATTTGCATACTGTATCATACTGATGAATGTCAGTTGAAAGTAGGTAACTAGATAAAAAAAGAATTAGAAAAAACATTCCCAGACATCTTGAAAGAAATCCTTGTATTACTCAAAATTCACCACCTGCGTGCCCGATGTAACGTGATGCCAGATGTCAAAACGGAGACTGACGGTGTGACGGTGCTTCCACTAGCATAACACTGAACTGAACTGTCAGCGTCCGAGTTGTGGGTACTGTGGGTGATTTAGTTGCCAGGTTTTGACAAGGAAGAAAAAAACATGGAATAAAAGACACAACATCTCTGGTGTGAAGTGTCCACTGTGAGTCCAACAGTTTTATTGAAGTGCAATGCTAATTCAGTGCAGTACTTTTTAACATTGAGCTACCTGAGGTTATGCGTATAGACAATAATCTCAGAACACAAATAAATGATGCGTGCGTGCGTGGCATGAGTGAGCTGATGCATGCCTCTGCGGTTCCTGTGTGGAGCACACACACACACACACTCTCTGTGTTTTGATTGTGTGACTGATGTGTGTGTGTGTGTATGTATTGCTGAACACAAGTTTGAGAGGATCTTACTATATGACTCACTATAAAAGGATATACAGACAGAGTCCTAGATTCAGGGCTTCGTGGACGTGGGAGGGGCTAATTATGTGCAGGCCGTGTCTGTAGACTACATGCAGTTTGTTCATGTAGGTTTTCGTCCCGTTTCTTAGTGTATAGTTAGACGTGGATACATTTATGCCTCGCCCCATTCCGATTTTTACTGCTCAAATGTAGAGGAAGCAGATACTCTACAATACTGACACACAATTATTTCAGTGAACACTATAGAAAATGTAAATCATAATTTTGTGTCCCAAGTAATGTGATAGAATTGTATATTTGTATGAATTAACATTACAATGTAGTCCAAATGGATGGACATCTGGTCATGGGTATCATGTTATCCATAGTGACGAGCCTTTGCACAGCTCGCCATATAGAGTTTGGTATCATTTGCATTTGATTGATTCTGATTATACGTTCTTATCTACAGCACGCATGGGTGAGTGCGTAAACAGGGAGTTAGACGGGAGCACACTAGGCTCCAACAGCTGTCATCAGCACATAGTAGACATTTTCACATCCATCCTAAATCCTTGTTCTTTGCTCTGCCAGGTTGGCGTGAGCATCGCATGTTCTTCGTGTCGGTGGTTGTCATGGCGGAATCGCTTTGGGCTGCTGTTTGGCAATTCTGAGTTCTTTGTTTTCTGTGACGTAAAATATTATATACAATGGTAAACAAAGGAGGATGACGAGTGTATATATAGAGAGGCTGAAACCAAGAGAAAAGAGGAGGTAGAAAACATGGACAGGAAAAAATGAAACTGTGGAGGGCTGAGAGCACTGCTGGTAGAAAAATGGCGACTGGCTGCAATTTTTTTCTGTGTCCTTGTCTCACTTTTCACTGTTCCATCTTTCTCTGCCAGGACTCTCTCTCTCTCTTTTTATCCTCACCTCTCTCTCTCTCTTTCAGCCGGTGCCTCTCCTTACTCTCCTTTTCTCTTTTACTTTTCCTTCTCTCCTCTCTGGCTTTTCCTCCATCTCTCATTTTTCTCCCTATCTTTCTCTTCTCCTGCCCTTCCAATGCCACACACACACATCCCTCAGCAGTGAGGGCATGCGTTCAGCAGATGCAGTTGGCTAAGCCCAGAGCATCTGCTGAGATAGACGAACACCACTGACATAGCTTCACAGGATGTGTGTGTGTGTCGTGCACTGACTCCTTGTGCTGTGTTTGCATGCCTGTATCTGTGTCAGTCGCTATCGATTGCTGGCATAAACTGTCTCTCCGTGTGCTCATGAATGAACGTGTGTGTGTGTGTGTGTGTGTGTGTGTGTGTGCGTGTGCTTGTGTGTGCGTGTGTGTAGCGTAGATCTGGCTAAACGTGGGCGGCGCTTTCATTCTCATCTTGTCTGTGCTGGCCTGCACATATGAATGCGGCTGTATGGCATGCGCCTGTGTGTGTCATGTGTGCAAGTCTAAAAGTGGAGAGGTGTATGTATTCATATGCTTGCTTTGTGTGTGCTGTGATAGTAGGCTTACATATAGGAATGTAAGCCCCCCCCCCCCCCCCCCTCCGCTTCCCACATGTGCCTCCCAAACCCTTCATTAACAAAACATGACCCTTAAGAGCATGATTAGCCTCATTTCAAGACAGGATGTCGGAAGCCATCAACCGAGGGGGGAAAAATCCATTACTATAATTGCATTGAGCTGAGGGAGGGAGGAGAGAGAGAGAGGGAGGGAAGAAAGGAAGGATGCATAGATGGATTAAAAAAAGGATGAAAATGAGTGGGATTGAGGGAGGGAGGAGGCGGAGGGCCATGAGAGATGCTGGGATGAAGTGAAGGAGGGAGAGAGAGAGAGACAGGATGGAGGGGGGGGATGCCAGCTGATGATAGGAACTGGTATTCTATATGAATCCATAGTTCCTTCTCATGGATCCCCCCCCGTGTCTGAGTGCTCAGTTGGTACGGCCCTCCGACAATAAAACCCACCACCAGTGAGTCTCGATGTGGCACTTTCACTCGGTCCTCTGGCTCAACGCACAAGAGTCACCGGCTTGATTTCGAAAACGGAGAAAACGGCGTGCCGACTCGACCGGTCACAGGGAACACGCCCCAGCATGGCATCCACTGCTGGGCCCTGGCACAGCGACAGGGAGGGATGGAGAGACGGAGGGGAGAAGCAGGTCTCTCAGGCTGTCAGAGCCCAGATACCTGGGCACAGACAAAGAAATGAGAAAACTTGCTTGCCTCAGCCTGGCTTCTCAACTGTCAGTCTGTCAGCCAGGCAGGCAGGAGCTCAGCATGAGTGAGTATTGCTTATACACATAGACATGCACACCCACTCACAGACAGGCATGCGTTTTGTCCGTCACACTTTTTTCCTCACCTGTCTGTCTCTTCCCCGGTTACGCTACAGTGTCTGTGGCTGTACGGCAGACATGGCGATGATTGTATAAAAAGGTATGTTTATAATTGGAGGCAAACATCACTGTTTCAATACAGTTTCAATACAAATGTGTAGGCTGTAGTACTTTACATGTATGTTTTATATGACACAGAAAGTGAAGGGTGTGGTTTCTCACACACACACACACACTCTCATTGTGTCATGGCAAATGAGGACAGAAAGCCTCCCACTCGTACTTTCACGATGACTGTCATAGAGAGCGAGGCTCCCTGTCTCCATTCCCCCTTTAACTGCTCTTTGACTGTGTCCTTACGTAGCCTTTGGATTCCTCGACACCATTTATCTCTCCAACATATTTCGTAGTGTGCAATGAGCCACTGACCCAAAGGGTGAAAAATCAGACTTGCTGGTTTCCCCCGAACATACGGTGAGATTGCGGTCAGACGCAGACAGGGTGACTATCTTGACCGAAGGCTAATGGAACGAGGGCCCGCGTGTGCCGGCACAGAGGATGTTCACGTGCATGTGAACATGCGCATTCGAAGACGCACGCTCACAAGAATTACAGACATTTTAAAGCAGTGATTTGCCTACAGATCTTCATTATAGATTATAGCAGAAATTAGAGAAAAAGATTAGAATTTCCGTCAGATGTATTTTCAAATAAAGGCGGACTAGCCCTCGATTCTACCTTCTTTACCCAGGTCAGCTTTTATTGATGCACATTTGCCATTTGTAATTAACAGCAATGAAGTGTGATTATTTCATATTGTTTGTGGCTTTGTTCCTGTTCCTGTACGATGTGGGCTCTCTGGCCAGCAGGCGGTGGGTGTTCACAGTGGGCTGCAGATCTGAGGATACACGATACCGGGGTGGGGCAACTGGAAACGTTCATCTTTAGATTCACCTATAGCCCGGCACTGAGTTGATCCTTGAAAGTGATAAGCATGCCGCTGTCGTCTGTTTAAATGTCTTGTTTTTTTCCAGGGCTCTTTCATGCGACGCTATCGTATTTATTTATTTTTTTTATTATTTTTTTTTTTTTTTAATTTATTTTCAAATTGGGGACAAAGAAAATGAGGAGTTGAAGCATCAGCAGTGTTAAGTTTGGGTCAGGTGAAAATCTGTGTGTCAGACTTAAATAACATGCCAATGTCTGTCAGCTGTTCAAATCTAAATTACACGAAGCAGTTGTGACGACGATCTTCTGCCTTTTTGTGATAAATCCTCTGAATTTAGTAAAACTGGACACAATCCTTACAGGGCAACACATATCCAAAGTTTGTAACAGTAAAAAAAAAAAATATGTATATCTATATTTAGATCCATTTCTTTGTTTAGTAATGTCTGACAGCCGTGACATTTCTTGTTCATAAAGAGTTTTCTCTTAATGTCTGTCAGAAGTAATAATATTTTGGGGCAAAAAGACTATTTCTTGTGAACGTAAAGTGCATTTGCATATCTGACAAATGTGAATGTTGGCCACAGCTGTTTGTTAAGTTTATTAATTTACATTTGGCACAAAAAAATGTTGCATAGGCAGAGCTGTTGGCAGTGCAAGTGCAGCTGGCAACAGGCAACTAAATGACCGCGATGAAGCAAAAACGCTGAGGCCACTGCCCGGCAGAGTCTTTCAGCGTTGCCTAATGTGCTATCAATGCTTTAAGCCCCTCCCACATGTTTCTGGAGAAGAGGACCATCTCATTTCACCTCCAATTTACTGGAATAATGGTCAGTCATCACCCATGACTAATCCAGTCTCATGTTCTCTTGTGGTACATATATCCCAGAAGCCTCTGCTACAACTATTCTACTCCTTGTTCCAGTGCAGCTCTCCAGTGAGCGTTGGCCTGAGCGCTCCTCTGGTTGGAGTGGTTAAATATAGAGCTATGCTCTGCATCTCCTGGGGAAAGAAAGTGAGAGGGGGGGCATAATATTGGACCAGAGGGGTAAATGAGAGAAACTTAGTTTCCTCCTTAATTGATTCAAATAGACTAATAGTATTACGTATTTTACCAAGTACAACCTTTTAGTTTCTGCCTCATTGTAATGGCCTCACAAACTTGAAGTCACCTCTGATTTCTGCAGATTTAATCTTTCTCTGTTAGTGCTACTTTGTGACCTGAATGATTGCTTACTTAAATATTTAAAGACGCATTACTGACCCATTTAGAGTTGTAGCAGCCTGCTGTCCACTGTCACTGAACAAGATGCAGTTGAAAGGTTTCCTCCTCTCGTCAGATGATAGCACCTCATTGTCTCCTCCTAATTGCACATTGATGGAATAATACATTGTGGGCAGGTTAATTGGCCCTAGCCAGATCATACGTCGTCTTCACACTTTTCCAGCATTGATGAGCTTTCAATGCAGTAATTATCGGTTGCTTTAGTATTGACGTTGTTTCAAGAAGTTACTCGGTCCCACAGTGAACCCTTCGTGCCTCCAATTTGCTCTCATTCATCAGAACCGAGGGGATGAGAGTGAAAGAGGAGAGGAATGCAATGACAGACAGAGGTGAAGGCTGAGAGCTCGGAAAAGAAAGGGAGGAGAGGAAGTGAGACTCAAATAGGCAGAGTAATGAGCAGGTGGGGGGGACGAGAGAGAGAGAGAGAGAGAGAGAATGAAGAGAGTAGAGTAGAATGATGGGGAAATGGTCTCACCAGGTGCTAGAAGGATCCTACGTACTGAAGAAGCAGAGACAGTAAGGTACTAGAAATGTCATCAGTGAATTTAAACGATTTCCACCAATTTAAGAGATTATTATGTCAGATGATTATATAAACTCTAAGAATGCAACATATCGCAGGACTTTCTTGCATATTAGGGAGCAGCAGTATTTAGCAGCGTTGGTTTTATATTTACACGCTCATCATAGTTCAAGCAAAAGCAAGGCATCACAGACTGACATTCCTTCTTTGGGTTCAGTTTGTATCCTCAACTTAGCAATTATTGTCTTTACTTTTTCAAAGTACCGTAATTGTATTTGTTTGATCTTTGAGATGTTGTGGTCCTGATGATCTATTGAACAAAGAATAGAAGAGTTCATCTGTTTGTTAAAGTGCTACTAATCCGTCAACAGTCCAACATATTTAGTGATATTTGCCCGAGGCTCATTTTTTTGCTCCCAAAAATATATTTAATATTCGACCTTATCTCACCCTGTATTTCATGTGAAATTCTGTCTCTGGTATCAAACCGGGTGTAGCAATAAGTATAGAACCAAAAGCATTACCATGTCATCAGCTTGATGACAGGAAAGGCTCTTTAGTCAATATCTCTGAATAAAGAGATGATGCGACGTTTTTCTCTCCATGCCTCTGACTCATTCGCAGCGAAGGAGCCGTCATTGTTCCTCCGTTGAGATGCTGCACATGCGTGTCATGGTGTTCTGCACAGGAAAGAAGAGATTTCTTACGTCGACGTGTATATTTTTTGATACTGTAACGCTGCCAGTGACCCACTTTTTGTGTTTGCCAGTAACCAAATGAATCACAGCGCAGCCACCATTTTGGTGCTTTCTCAAGATGTCTGTCCCTTTTTTATGCACGTCAGCGCTCACCGACTTTGCCTCCGAAGAGCACTGCCGTGTCCTCTCCTGTGTACTCCAGAAGTACCACTCACTCGCCTCGATAGCTCCGGTCTTGTGTGTACGATAAGTAGTTCTATTATCAGTTGAGTAGGATGTAAATCAATATGATTTTCATAGGAAGGACCAGAGGAAGTGGGTGTATGTATGCAGCGGCAGCCATCTTGAGATGACTTCAAAATGGAGGTCGACTGCTGTCTGATAGCAAAATGGTGTGTGTGTGTGTGTGTGTGTGTGTGTGTGTGTGTGTGTGTGTGTGTGTGTGTGTGTGTGTGTGTGTGTGTGTGTGTGTGTGTGTGTGTGTGTGTGTGTGTAAAACAGCGATTAAACATTTGCCTAATCCTGACGTGAGACTGTCTAGGAATGACAGAGAAAGACAGGATGGGAGGTAAAGAAGCAGCTTCTGCCTCCCGGAGAGCAAATGATGGTGCACCTCCTAAATCTGTCCCCCTAGAACTCTCTGCACACAGTTTATCTCTGCTTCATTTTGTCCCCAATGTTGGAGCTAATATCTCCTGCCTTCTCTCTCTCTGTTTGTCTCGTCTCATTCTCTGTGTTTGTCACGCGTGTCTGCATCTCTCTGTCTGTCTGTCTGTCTCTACCTCGTCCACAGGGCTTCTTGAAGAATGAGAGGGACAACGCCCTGCTGTCAGCCATCGAGGAGTCTCGCCGCAGGGTCAGTATCTGCCGAGTGTCTTATTGCTTCGCGGGTGGAAATAGAGCTATAGATGGTCGACAGAATCTAAATCCTACAGTGTGGAAAAGCAGATCACAGGCCCACAAAAACCCCCATGTCTTGGGATTTTAATTATTTAAATTCTTTACCGGTTAAATTGTAAAGGACGAGATGCAGGGATTAGACTCTATAGTCACAGACAGTAGCGGTTCTTTCTTTGCCTCATATTTAGCTTTACACAATCGGATGAGTCTTCAGCACTGCGGCGTGTATGAACATTAACACATCCCAATATAAAAACACTTAACAACCTCAATGTTTAGTCATTTCTGCTTGCTGCGGTCTAAAAGTCCTTCTGCTGTGAACCTTCAGGGAATGCTTCTGAAATCGCTTCCCTGACGTACAGAGCTAATAGCCCCGGCGTTTAATTAGCTGCCGTTCCCATTATCTCTCTTCTCCCTGAGAGACGAAAAAAGGACTCGTGTGCAGGGGGGGGACTCAGGACTCAAATGCACTGATTAAGAAGAAAGCGGATGTTAAAGATTTCTATCTCGACTTCTGTACCTTTCACATCACATGAAGCGTGTGCTGTTATCCTGCTGCATGACATATCACTTGACAATCACTTGACATGAATATGATCTCAGATAAATTTAAAACTTTTGGTTTTGGATTTTTAAGGCGGATACCTATATAAATATTTGAGAAATGCAGAAAATCTGATAACAATAAATTGGTAAATTCGATGATTAATCTCATAAACAGAATCTCCTCAATGTGATTATTAGGCAATTGGTAAAAAGAGATATATATGTATGTATATGTGTGTATATATATATATATATGTGTATGTACAGTTGTGTGAAAAAGTGTTTTCCCCCTTCCTGATTTCTTATTTTTTTTTCATGTTTGTCACACTTAAATGTTTCAGATCATCAAACAAATTTAAATATTAGACAAAGATAACACAAGTAAACACAAAATGCAGTTTTTAAATGAAGGTTTTTATTATTAAGGGGGGAAAAAAATCCAAACCTACATGGCCCTGTGTGAAAAAGTGATTGCCCCCTAAACGTAATAACTGGTTGGGCCACCCTTAGCAGCAACAACTGCAATCAAGCGTTTGCGATAACTGGCAATGAGTCTTTTACAGCGCTGTAGAGGAATTTTGGCCCACTCATCTTTGCAGAATTGTTGTAATTCAGCCACATTGGAGGGTTTTCGAGCATGAACCGCCTTTTTAAGGTCATGCCACAGCATCTCAATCGGATTCAGGTCGGGACTTTGACTAGGCCACTCCAAAGTCTTCATTTTGTTTTTCTTAAGCCATTCAGAGGTGGACTTGTTGGTGTGTTTTGGATCATTGTCCTGCTGCAGAAACCAAGTGCGCTTCAGCTTGAGGTCACGAACAGATGGCCTGACATTCTCCTTCAGGATTTTTTGGTAGACAGCAGAATTCATGGTTCCATTTACCACAGCAAGTCTTCAGGTCCTAAAGCAGCAAAACAGCCCCAGACCATCACACTACCACCACCATATTTTACTGTTGGTATGATGTTCCTTTTCTGAAATGCCGTGTTACTTTCACGCCAGATGTAATGGGACATACACCTTCCAAAAAGTTACACTTTTGTCTCGTCAGTCCACAGAGTATTTTCCCAAAAGTCTTGGGGATCATCAAGATGTTTTCTGGCAAAACTGAGACGAGCCTTTATGTTCTTTTTGCTCAGCAGTGGTTTTCGTCTTGGAACTCTGCCATGCAGGCCATTTTTGCCCAGTCTCTTTCTTTTGGTGGAGTCATGAACACTGACCTTAATTGAGGCAAGTGAGGCCTGCAGTTCTTTGGATGTTGTTCTGGGGTCTTTTGTGACCTCTTGGATGAGTTGTCACTGCGCTCTTGGGGTAATTTTGGTCGGCCGGCCACTCCTGGGAAGGTTCACCACTGTTCCATGTTTTCGCCATTTGTGGATAATGGCTCTCACTGTGGTTCGCTGGAGTCCCAAAGCTTTAGAAATGGCTTTGTAACCTTTTCCAGACTGATAGATCTCAATTACTTTGTTTCTCATTTGTTCCTGAATTTCTTTGGATCGCAGCATGATGTCTAGCTTTTGAGGATCTTTTGGTCTACCTCACTTTGTCAGGCAGGTCCTATTTAAGTGATTTCTTGATTGAGAACAGGTGTGGCAGTAATCAGGCCTGGGTGTGGCTAGAGAAATTGAACTCAGCTTTCCAAAGATGTGATAAACCACAGTTAATTTATGTTTTAACAGGGGGGGGGGCAATCACTTTTTCACACGGCCATGTAGGTTTGGATTTTTTTTTTCCCTTAATAATAAAAACCTTCATTTAAAAACTGCATTTTGTGTTTACTTGTGTTATCTTTGTCTAATATTTAAATTTGTTTGATGATCTGAAACATTTAAGTGTGACAAACATGCAAAAAAATAAGAAATCAGGAAGGGGGCAAACACTTTTTCACACAACTGTATATGTATATATATATATATATATATGTATGTATGTATGTATGTGTATATATATATGTGTATATATATGTGTCTATATATGTGTATGTATGTATATACAGTATGTATGTATATACAGTATATATGTGTATGTATGTATATACAGTATATATGTGTGTATGTATATACAGTATATATGTATGTATGTATATACAGTATATATGTATGTATGTATATACAGTGTATATATGTATGTATGTAT